ACGGTGCCGAAAAAATATATTATATGATGTTTACAGTGATGAAGTGAAAGTTCAATATAATTATATATTGATTTATCAGAGACAGGTGAGTCATCATTTATTTTATTTACCTAATTACGTTTCCCGTTTAGTACGAATTTAAGTTTACAAAAGTAGTCAAGTGCGAGTCGGACACGCGTATCGTGGGTTCCATACTAACCAAACCCGGAAATTTACCGAATCGAGCCTTTGAGAACTTTTTCATTTTTACCGATTATATTGTAAATGACAAACTTAACTGTGCAGTTTGCAGAAAGAAAGAAAGATAAATAGACATCCACATCCCATCCACGCTCCCACACGCACTCACATAAACGTACAAATAAACAATAATAAATTAACGAATTTATCTTTTCAGAACCCGCACAAAAACTTGACAAACACACTTTGGTAAAAAGGTGATAAGAAGAGGAATTGTGTCGGATGTTACGCAAAACTCCGAACCTTTTTAACCAGTCGCCAAGCTGACAAAAAAGTAAAAAAAATTTACTAAATGTGTTCAGTGCAAAAAAAAAATTATTGCTACTCATTTTTTATTGAAAAACATTAATTCATGTTTTTTTTCCTTCATAATAAAAAATAATTAAAGTTATCGAAATTTTTATTTCACATCTTTAAAATACGCACCAGACTTCCCTTATTCAGTGCGGCACAGGGTGATTAAGCCCTGTATTTTGAATATAGCTATAATTATTAAACTAAATAAGTTGTTTACGAACGCCTTCAGGTGTATGTCAATTAGTTCATTGTTATTAATTTTCAGAGCAAAAAAAACATGTATATTTTTACATGAAGCCAAAAAAAGGATTTAAGTGTCTTAAATTTTACAGGGTCTATAAGCCTTGTGCCGCCACAATGGAAGTTTTATTACCACCTTGTACCGAAGGAATGGAAATTATTGAAAAGTTACTGTCGCAGCAAACGTATTAAGCGTTTCTTGAACGCGCCAACTAAATCAACAGAATGTTCTAGAGTGAGATTTGAAAGGCGGCTTGTTCGCCTAGACACCAGTCGTAAATCTAGATACAGACGCTAACCGTTGAGCATGAATTTATTAAAAATCTGGGACATTTTATTATTAGCAAAAGTATCAAGTATCAAGTCGAAGGAGCTTTTTATTAAAAAACAAAAAACAAATAAACTCAACCCGTTTTCTTTTCGAAAAGTCCTCATAACATAAAAGTAAAAATCCACTATTGCTTCTTTCCTTAATCCCCTAATGTTGGCATCAATGACAGATAACTGTTTGGTGTTTCGCGCCTATTTGATTACGGCCTTCGGTTATTACGTGTCCAAGGGTCAAAAGCGCAGTGTTTCCAGTTAACGGCCGAAGTTATCGCGAGTGTTACAAACAACAAAGCGATCCATTGTGCGAATGTTGCGAAAACTACTAAATGTGGGTCATTACTTAGAGCTAGAGTCGCCAGGGGACCGGCGAACCGGAGATGTGATACTCTAGCGATGTTAAAAAAACTTTTAGTGTGCGTAACACGTAGATGTTACAACACCACTTCTACTCAAGGTGGTTCGAAGGAGGATGCAAAGGTCAATGTTCGCAGCTTCCTTCAAGAACGAGGCGGCTCATTTCGGTTGATGCACGCCTTCATTTTGCTTCGACCTTAAGCTGACACGAATCATTAAATACCAACAACAAATTCAGTTCGTTAGATTCATAGCAGTTTTAAAGTTTAGTCTGTAGTAGTAGTATCGTTTAGATTTTTCATTTTGCGTTCGCGTTATTAGAACTGGAATTGATGCCTTCAGTTTTTGCAACATGTCTTGCAATTAGACAAATTCACAGTTTCAAGGCAATTTTACATGAATCTAAAGCAAATTCTTTGAAATCAAACCTACGATCCGCGGAGTCGAAACCGTTTGCTTTAGCACGGTGTTAACGTAACGTAACCTTTCAATAACGGCTTATTCGGTTAATAGACAGATACAGTATTCTTGGTGATGTCGTTGTGATCAGTAAATTTTACTTTTGGACTTTCTTGTGGTATTTTAATTAGAACATTTAAACAAGTTATAATAATTGTGCTGTCAAGTAAATGCACAATCAGAACAACTTATAATAAATTGTAGTTTATAACATTTTAGTACAAGCGTATCCAGTAGATAATTAGGATTATATATTATCCCATAAGTATATTCCGAAAAAAAGAATAATTGTTACATAACATATTTATATACACATTAAAAAAGTTTAAGCAACATGACGGCAATACGATGAAATATTGTGATATCTGGCATTTTAAGGTTCTGTACCTTAAAAGGTAATAACGGAACCCTTATAAGATCACTCACTTTTGATCACCGTCTGTCCGTGTGTCACCACCGATTTCCGAGAATCGGACAACATCTATTTTTCATCCCCCTAAATGTTAAGGGTGGTCCACCCCAAACATTTTTTAATTTATATGGCAAAAAAACGTTTGGCGGATCTGCTAGTCTTATATATAATTCTACTGTACATTGGTTGTTACTGAACTCCTCCTAAACGGCTGGACCGATTTGAATGAATTTTTTTGTATGCGTTCGGGTGGCGGATGGTTTAGATTCACAATTCGTTTGTTTTTATAAGTTTTTATTTCTGTTTTCGTCCAAGATTCCACAGACACTGAAGACAAGGGTATATAAACAGTGTATTGCCAGCGATTACGGCACTGAGACGTGGTCTCTAAAAGCTGACCTTTTGGAGAGACTCAGTGTCACACATCGAGCTATGGAGAGAGCTATGCTCGGAGTTTCTTTGCGCGACAAAATCCGGAACGAGGAAATTCGCCGAAGAACCGACACAGCTCTCCGGATTTGCAAGTTGAAGTGGCAGTGGACAGGCCATATCGTTCTAAGGGAGAGGCCTATGTTCAACAATGGACGTCTTTCGGCTGATGATGATGATGATACAATGATAGCTCTAAAAAAGCTGGAATCTATGGCGAAAATCTCTGTAGGAAGTCTCCTTATCCCTCTCTCTGCCTTGTTATATTTTATTCAGTATTGAGGGTAAATAAGGAATTCAATTCAATTTTAAGGAATGTTGACCTTGCAACTTTTAGAACGAGCAAACATGTTAAATAAATATACATAAGTTACCGTGTCGACATTACCTCGCTTCAATCATTCACAATTTTAAATTGATCTTTTAATTGGCTAACGTTTTGTGATAACAGTTTGTGGCGGCGCTGGCACGATAAGAAAGAGCGGTGTCTTTAAAAATTGGTTTTTAGAACACTTGATAAAATATTTTGCGACGTCCATTAATCACATGTCGAATGAATATCGTTTACATTTTATGTTTGGTCAGCGAAATACCATTAACTGAATCATTCGTTATAACCGTATAGTGTTCTGGTCTGGATATTTTTTTTTTCGTTTATTGGGACATTAAACTGCTATATATAAAACTACTATAATAACTTAACATGAAATATACAATTTAAAATTATTTTTCATGTACCAAAAGCAATGTCTGAAAAATAAGATTAAATTTACAAAAAGTGCAAGTCGGTTCCAAGCCTAATTTACACATTACGGATGAAGACATGACTATTAAGTTGATGTTGTAGCGAAAACAACTCGCAATTTTTAAATTAAGAGATATATCTAGCCAATGATATTTTATAACATTCTATAATAATTTATACTAGTTTATAATATCATTTCAGCCTGTTTGAGTCCACTGCTGAACATAGGCTGCCACGAAGTACGATTCTGAGCCACCTGCTACATTTGCACAGGTCGTCACTCAATCTAGTTGGGGGTCGTTTTACATTGCGATGGCCAGTACGAGGCTACCATTTAAGAACCTTTCTTCCCCAACGGTTATCGGTTCTACGAGATATATGGCCGGCCCATCGCCATCAAACCAGTATCCAGATTATATATTGAATTATAATATCTTTGCATCTAGCTGTCTACGAAGCGCTTTCCGCCAGCCCAGTGTACCGCCTTATCCACAAAGAAGAAAGGTGCAGAAGCACCGTTCTTTGTGGATTAGACGGGACACGAGTGCCTCGCGTCTTGTGACATTTCTTGGTACAATGCAAACCATCTTTTTGGTACAGTCGAATTTATTGTTACATAATCCATTTACGTTGTAGCTGTATGATAATTATGAGACAACGTCTAGAATCCTCACTTGTAAAGCTTGTAGTAAAAACATTTGAAGTGCATGTTGCATAAAACTTTTTTTTCTGATATTTCTAATGTTATTACATTATATATATATTAATAGGAAAAATACAAGTATTTTTCCTATAAGGGATTCTATAGGGACACAAACTTACCTCTGAGCGTTCGGTGAGTAGTTCACCTCGAAAATACACTAAATCACGAAACACTCCTAAGTGACAGACAAAACACTTATCCACTGTTGATGTAGGATTAGGCAACAAGCATTCCAGTCACGCACGGGGCTCTAAACAATTTTACCGTCAATTGAGAAAGATCGTGTTCCAAAAAGAACCTCGCAAACGTATACATAATATGTCTTAAAGTGCACTTGTGTGTAAGCAATTGTGACATCCGTACAAAATCCTTTTTCATTAGCATATAAATTGGTTAAAGTACATCAGTGTGAAATATTAACTCGCTCGGGTGTTGGTTACTGTAAGCAAAAAACAAGTTACGATTAGGGACATACTAAATTTTGTGTATACTGATACGAACTGGGGGTTCGGGCATTGGAGTGAAACGCCGGTCATTTAAATGTTTGCTCTATTGACGTCAAAAACGACTTGCATCGCGGCCCACTCAATACCGCTCTAGTCCTTACTGGTACTACCGGTACGACGACTCTCCCGTTCCGCACCAATCTTACAGTGACAAGAAAGCAGGTGCGCTCCCTCTCGCAACCATCTCTATGTACGCGTCCACTGGTGCAACGATCCATACATTTCGAACCAACCCACCGAGTCCGACTTTACTCTACTAGTCACTTCGCGTCACTGTTCACTCACTTTTACTTCACTTTCCCACTTTCTTCTTCCTGCTCCTTCTACCTCGAGTTTCTCCACTGAACTGCCGTCTAACGCGCTCTGAGCCCCTTTCATAGTCGGAATTTCGTACCTTTTTCAAATAAAGTTCTGGAATTCGAACCTTCTTTCAAATTATAATTATATTTTTAATAATTTTAAATGAACATCATATACCTCATTTCAAACTGTTATCGACGGATCGTTGACATTTAAGAGGTCAACCCCGTAATCCTAACACTATCCCCCTCCAAGTGTGCTCATCCCAAGCATCATTCGTTCCGTTATATACACAGTTTATTTGTGTGACTGGACTAAAATATTTAGCGGCAATATATATATATAGTTTCAAAATTAATTTTATTTATTTCAATGAAAAATAATCTGTAAATTGATATTATTATACCTACGTACATAATAAACTTTAGTTTTGATTAGAAATCGTTTTCAACAATTTCTTTTTTTTCCATATCATTTTAATTTTTTAATCCTTCACATATAAACGTATTATAAGGAGATTTTAAAATTGTACACTTCAGATCCAATGTGACTAGCAAGTGGAGAAAACTTTATTGTGCGTATAAAGCTATTTATTATTTTGTGCTAGTAACTTTTCCAAAGATATTAAAATAAATATAAATAAATATCTCGAAGAACTCGCATCAAGATTCACAGCTCACATTTGCTTACGTTTTTATTAAAAGCGTTAATTTTCAGTTATTTAAGAAAAATAACTTCTCTCCTTACTTCTTCTCCATTATTTCTAAGTTTAATTAAAATAGTTCAGGCTTTAATCACAGATTAGGGTCATGTTATGTCCAGACTTTGACCCCACGTCATTTGACGTTAACGACTGTATTTCTATTATGGTTTAGTATAAGCGATGAATTGTGAATAATCATAATCTGATTACTTATAAAACGCCTAACCAACATTTTGTCAATGAGGAATGGGGTTGGATGACTACGGAAATATTTTGATGACCACACAAAACCTAAAACCTAAAACATAAAAATCCCTTCCTCTTCTCTCTTACATGATTGGGATAAATCCAGTCATAGTTAGATAAGTTACAAAAATATAAATAAGAAAAGAAGCGTATACGTCTTCTATTCTTATACTGGCAACGCCAAGCCGCAATTCATTGTGTATTGGCTATGTAGAGCGCAAACAACGAACATGGGCCCCTGTCATGTGACTAGATAACGTGCCGTTTGCACTCGCCTGACCTCGCAACCCCTTTATCGGTGAACTGTCAAAGGATGCGCGAAATGAACGGCCATCCTTATTGTCAAATGATCGACTCAATGAGCCATTAACGTAATTGGCCCACCTCGAGTTGATAGCGCTTACGCCGGCCGCTCTAAATTCGAATTGTTTTGTTTTTCTTTTTCATTGAACCTTTTCGGACTGACTTCTTATAATATGAGTACTTTTTTCATAGTCTTACTTTGTATTTAACTCTTTTAGCACTGAATTAATTTAAATATTAGTTACTTAAGGATATTTAATTTTAAGTGACCAATAAAGAAAAACTTTAATGAATATTTTCAATATCTTATTTATTAACTGATTGTAAGTCACGATTTATGAACGTTTATAACGTTGACAATCTAATTTAATGTAGAATATCGAATTGTCTGTTTTTCTGACATTTTCGGGCTAGACATATTTGATCCATCTTCAAATAAAAATATATTTGCATATAAAAAGCAAATTTGCTTTTTATTCAAGTCATACTCGTATGAACATTATTTTATTCTTCATTGCAATTCCATCACACAGGTATGTGCATGGAAATGAAGCTACTTGATTGCTAATGCTTTTAATCATTTAAAGAAATGACGCTGTCATGTCAAATTACAATGTCAAATTGACATCTAAGTACATTTCATTTTAATACTTCGAGAATGTATTATGAAAACAATAGAATACATTAGTTTCGTAGATGTTTAGGAAAATTTCATCGAATAAATGTTTTTCTATGGACTACATATAAGCGATATATTATAATATGCAAATAAAATTAACATCTCGTTTTCATTTAGATCTACACATTGCCAAAATGAAAAGTGCAAAATCGCTTGCTGAGCGATAAAACCGCCCATTTTACTTCCTTTTACATTCATTGGTAATTAGCTTCGTATACATGTATTTTTTTGGTGTACAATTAAGTATAAATAAATAAATAAATGATGATCTTCTTAATGATCAATTCAGAGTTTAACAATTCTTTTCGCAACTCAAATAACATCTGAAAATCCATTTAACGGCAGATTAGTTAACTTCTAAGATGATCAGTGTCAGAAACCGGGAGTTAGTTTTTGTAACTACTCGGGTCTTCGATATATAGAGAGAAAATTTGTTGCCTGAAGGGAACTTTGACTCCTTCGGCTTAAGATTATGCAACTTGGTTCTTGTGAAACACGAAATGAGGAATGTCTGTTTAGGTATACTCAGCACCTATAATAAGAAGTATCACTGTATGTTACAATGTAATATGTGGTATACTTAATGTATAATTTAAAGTAATCTCAATGCTTAAAATGTTTTAATGTTTTAATAATCTCAATGCGCTTATATGATGATAGATTTTTCATAAAAGAATTCTTTAAGTAGGAAATGATGATCATTTATTGTCAAGATTGCGTAGTTAAAATTGTGATCACACAGGGTACAAATGTTACCTCGTTTATTTCCATACGCAAATTGTTAAAATTAAGTCGTTTTTAAATCAGAAAACGCCGGCTGTAATTGCAATGAATAATGTGGTGCGATTAATATCTTGTAGCAAAATGATTCTTATTAAAAACCCGCAGACCACATGTTGCGATTTTTTATTACTTCAAAATTTGTATGATAATTTGAATAGTCTCTCGAGTAGTCTTCGGACGAGAATTAAATCATAATGTTAAAAGCAGTGTGGTACGTATACTTTCGTACATGCTTACAAACAAAAGAATACAAACAAGAATGATTGTTAATTTTTTTTCTCTAAAGTGGAATTGAGTCGCTAAGCTATACAAGTTTACAACAAAATAATTTTTGTCTGCAACACGCACTTTCATTTTCAAAGAGAGTGACTAGGCTAACTGTTACGTGATAATTCAAATGAGTTATGTTATATTAATTGTAATTCATGTTCTGTAGCAATATTCATGTTTTAAAGTCTATTTTTATTTGTTCTTGGTTATCCAATGGAAATAAAGAGTAATATATACTTAACTTTAATATTAACAAATACACTCAGCAGATCTGCTTTTGCACGAATGCAACATTGTATGATCCTCGACTTATCGCATCCTGTTGTTTCCAGCCACCCTTCGACGATCGTCGCTCCACCTTGCCTGAAGGCATCCTACACTACGTTTGCTGAGATGCGGTCTCCACTCGAGAACACGTCTACCACAACGGCCAAAAGTTCTGCGGCCAAAATGGCAAGCCCATCCCTAGTGTTCGTTGTAGTTCTCTGATGGATCATGTAGTTCAGGAGACCATGTTTCAGAGGTCCTGAGCTTGTGAATTAAATGTACCGTAAGCGTCCACGTTTCTGCTCTCGTGGACATGCCATGCCATGACCGGCAGTAATCACATGTGGAAGACTTTTGTTTTTAGGCGCTGTGGAATAGAGCTTATCTAGCTCTTTCAGTAATGTACCATCCCAGAGCTCCGATATGGTTCCGTCCTCCCATTTTTCATTCATAAACTGTTACAGAACCACCTCATTTTCGTCTAGGCTAAGTTCGGGCAGATCTTTGCTGAAGTGGCGGGTCCAAGTGGTAGGGTTCAGGTCGAGTTGAGTGAGAGGCGTAAAGGTTCGACCACCGGTTGTGTTCAATCGTTTTTTCTATTGAGAGTTGGAGTGTTGGAGGCCAAATCGTACCATTTGATATAATTTGTATTAAGTGTCGGGTCTCTGCTCTAAGCTTGGACTTTTAGCCTGTACGTCGCTACTTACAGAACTTCATACCTTTAATCCTGAGAACATTTACCACTCGCTCAAGGTTCCAGGCAATGTGATTTGAAGTTTTCACGGCGGCCAGTTGGAAAATAGGCTCATTAGGAACAGACCATCTTTTAAGAGGAAGTTGACAACATTTCTGGTGCAAAATTGTACGTAAATTAGTAAAAAAAAAGTAAAGAAGTTTGTAGAAAATAATATAATTTCGTCCCAAACGTCTACATGGGCAAATGGACATATAAAATAAAGAATTTAAACGTTACATCAAAAACAAAACTGGGAAAGAAATATTTCAGTGAAAGAAAGTAATTTTTTGAGAGTGAAAGCACTTTAAAGATTTTTTTGTTTCGTTTTTAATTAAAGCGAGCATGTCCACTTTCGCCAGTTCAATTGCAATGTGACTTGCATTAGAAACGTAATATGCGTATGAAATAACGAGTAAAAATCGGTCGGCTGGAGTTAGGTCCTTTACAACGTATATGTTTAATTTATCACGAATATGTCCTCTTAAGTGGAACGAAAAGTGAAAACGTTAGTGTTTATAACTCATATTATTTTGAGCTATTAGTTGTGGTGAGAAATAAATATTTTATTATATAACTTTATTATTCCTTCTTGTAACTGATTTTTCGAATATGCAATCAATTTAAATAAAAACTGAAATTTAGTATGTGCATAGATTCGGGGGCGAAAAATCGATCTAGCTAGGATTCATTTTTCGAAAATGTCCTTTTATCCCTGTTTTCAGGGAATTAAAACTATCATTCGAATATGACAGTAAATTTCGCCACAAAAAAAATGTTATAATAGCTCGGTCGGTAACAGACGGCCGCGGTTCGTAACACGATCATTTACACACTTATTTTTTTTTACTTTTTTTTCTATACCAGATCATTTTCTTTATTTTTTCTTTTTTTATTTCCAAAATACATGATTTACCAAAAAAACCTCCTCCAGGTACTGTATACTTAAGGGATAAGATGTCACCTAAATGTAGTGCATGGTGTAGTTGCCAATATACTGGTATCTCCGTTTCTTCCGTGGGCTGTAAGATCAATTCTCGCACGGAAGAAGTATTTGTATGACACATATAAAAGTAAAGTAAAACCTCAGCCTA